TCTTTTAAATATAGAATTATAAAAAAAATATTTTTCTTTTATATTTTTTTTATAATTCTATATTTAACAGATTTTGCTCTCTCTCTCTAGAAAATTCCAGACCACCACAATCACTTCGGTACGACTTGAAAAAAAATACATATTGTTACAGTAAATTATTTGATTTAATTTGTAGACACGTGTAAAAAGAATAAAAAAATATGTAAGATTAAAAAACTAGAAATATAGGAAAATTTAAATTAGAACAAAAGTTAATACTAAAATGCGATATTAAAAGATAAATTAAAAAACTAGATAGAAAGATAAAGGTAAATAGAAAGATAGAGATAAGATACGAAAAACGATAAATGCCCAATTCGACAGATAAAAACTAAAAGAAAAGATATGTCACTCCAGGAACAAAGATAATGCATCCGCCCAATAAGATAAAGATAAGGTAAGGTAAATGGCAGATACGAGGTAAAGATACGTTCCCTAGAGTGACCCAAAACAACAAAAATCAAAAATCTATCTGTCGAATGGCCTGCCAATAGACACCACCACTACAGGGTCCAGATAAAGCAAGAGTTGCCTTCTGGCAAGCAAGGATTCGTTAAAGGTGACATAAGTCGTATAATAAAAATATTATAAAAAATCCTTACTTACCAGAGTCCCTCCTGGTTCGTCTCTGAGAGTACTCCTGCAGTGTCTGGTTCTATTCATGGCCCCTGAGACTGCTAAATAGAACACCTCTGCGGATTCCTGTTCGACAGCTTGCGTCTCAGTACATTAATAAGAAAGATAAAAATAATTAGTACTAAATTAAAGTTAAAGGTATTAGAAAATTTTTTACAAAACTACCATACACGTGCTACTAAGATAAGAAGATAAAGAAATGATGATAAAAAAATGAACTGTGAGATAAAAAGATAAAATAGAAAAAGGAATTTAAAGTTACAAGCTAATTAAATAATTAAATCAAATAATTAAATCATATTAGATAGTAAGAAATGTTTAAAAAAATAAACTAATAAATAATTTCCAAGTGGTACCTCGTGCCGGTGTCTGGAAAAAAAACTAGGTGTTTAAGCAAAGAAGATCGAGATGAGAGAGAGTGATTTTCGGCAAAACAAAAAAGTCCCTTTATAGAATTCTCCCATTCATTTAGACATGCGTTAAGTACCAAATGTCAATATAAAAATTTTTAATTAATAGTAAAAATAATAAATACGATAAAATTTCCTACATACCTTCAAAAAAATGTGTGTAACAATTGCATCTTAATTATTTAACACTAAACAAAATATTAATAATAAACCTTCGTTTTCATTAAAATAAACAAATTATTATCGGTAACCCATAGGCAACCAGAAAATATATAAAATATTTAAACAATTTAAACTAACAACCATCGCTAGTGATGTGTACCACTATCGAGGTTCCGCAAAAAAATCGATAATATATAAAAAACGTATAAACGATATAAAAGGAAAAATGTAACGAAAATATTTTTGTTACAAAGCTAGTAATTATTTAAAATAAATTTTTAGACACTCTGTATAAGGTAATAAAGTTTTTATTATTGAAACAAAATAACTGATCATTAAATAAACTTCAGTAAATATTTAATATTAAAAACTTTGATACCCTCGGAGAAATGAAGCCTTAAAATGTATACTGCAATTTCACAAAATTGAAAATATTTCAAAAATGGTAAGGTTTAAGCGTAATAAACCTTAATCAAATTTACATTTATTTTAATCGTAGAAACTAAAAATGTAATAATATATAGGGTGTTCCATTTAAAAAAATAAAACTTTGATATTTTTTATTTATTTGGGACACTCTGTATCTTGTAAAAATATTATTAAATTGTAGCTCTAATAGTCCTTCAACGAACCCAAAACTTACAATTTGTAAAAATCTAGTCGTTTAGCTACAATACTCCGTGTCGTATGTGGTGAACAACCTTGTATATAAAACTAAACTATATTTAACTATGAATGTAACCTTATTATATGTAACCTTATTTTAAAAAATTCATACTAGTCTGAATTCGATAGTTCACTAAGATTGGATAAACTAAAATCAAATCCTAAATTGATACTATCTTGTTTTTTTAAATATTTTTGTATTTGTTCATTTGATCCCGCATGTTTTTTGGTTTGCACCTTCCTTTTTGAAGAAATGAAACACATCATGACATCATGACTTACATGGTGTAAGGGGAAGGACACGCATTAAATCTTTGTTTGTGTCTATTCTAGAGCATTTTCGAGTGTGAGATAATCTGTGCTTATCATAACCTCTTTATGCCTGGCCTCATGCGCATCTTCACAGAGTTCTCCGATAGGCAAACAAAATGCATCGATTATCTCACACCCATCAACAAGCACTTTGTGTACTGTGCTTGACATATTGTACCACCTATAAAGGATAATGTATAAATTATTAGTTTCATTTAGCAATACCCTAAACTTATCTAAGTTAATGGCATTACCACTTGCTAATACTCTTAAGATTATTGAAAATTTCTCTATCAATTCCCTGTCAACTTCTGTAATTTCCGAACTAACTTGTGGATTATGAAAAAACTTTCTGGCTGTATTGCCGTCATTTGAGCCATACCCTGGTTTTGGCTTGTCCACTATTAAAGACAATTTAGCTTTAAATTCCGCTTTGATTCTTTTTTTGTTGCCTTCTACTATGGTTTTATTCTCAGTAACCCGCCACAACTTTATTGGCAGTCGGTATCCAGTGTGGAGAAGGCACTCAAAAAAACGGACCCAACAATGCAGAGTTGACAACCTGAAACGATAGTTATCATTATTAGCGGGACGGCTAATTCCTGCTAAAGTATTCATATCTTTTGGTGTGGCTCCGGAAATGACGCATTTCATTGTTGAATTGGTTTCGGATAATATATTCCCCACACTACCGTCCAACATGGTTAACATATTAGTTCGAATATCACATATGTGTAAGAGTCTTGTTTTCCGTTAAAAATTGTTTATATTAAATTGTGTTATTTTAAGAAATAATATTTTATTTGAATCTCTAATTGACTTTTCTTGACCGCATGTATAAAAATGTCGTTTCCTAGACGATGCGGTTTGCATTGTTGATGATTATTTAGACTGGCGTCGCCATTTATCAAAAAAATATTAAATTCAGATTATAATTGTGTGGAAAATATTTCTAGGACTGAATAGAAGGAATGAAGTATTATACAGGTGAGTGTATTTTGTTCACTCACGGACATTACTGGGATTTGTATGAGAGTAGTTTAATATTATTTAGTTAACAGTTATCACTGAGCTTTAGTAGTAGATAGAGAAGGGTATTTTAGTATTACTTTTGTGTGTGTGTGTTTTATAGTAGACAAGTATTTATCAAAGGGCATTTTAATATTGTTTAGTTCAAAGATAGATGTTTATCAAAGAGTGTTTTAGTGTTATTTATTAGAGATACGTAATGGACAGCTATTTATCAAAGAGTATTTTAGTAATATTTATTGGGTGTGATTTATAATACCTGGCAAATTATCAAATGGTATTTAGTATTATTATTTTGGAGTGTTTTATATTTTTACGTATGACTCAAATTGTTTAACAACAATATTAAGCTATGTCGCTTTGTGGCCATCCCTTTTGCGTGTGGGACAGACGCCTTGTCGCTTAGCTACGGAACAACAACATTATGCTATGTCGCTTTGTGGCCATCCCTTTTGCGTGTGGGACAGACGCCTTGTCGCTTAGCTACGGAACAACAACATTATGCTATGTCGCTTTGTGGCCATCCCTTTTGCGTGTGGGACAGACGCCTTGTCGCTTAGCTACGGAACAACAACATTAAGCTATGTCGCTTTGTGGCCATCCCTTTTGCGTGTGGGACAGACGCCTTGTCGCTTAGCTGCGGAACAACAACATTATGCTATGTCGCTTTGTGGCCATCCCTTTTGTGTGTGGGACAGACGCCTTGTCGCTTAGCTACGGAACAACAAAAATATTTAACTATTTTATATACTCGATTATGGTGATGTGATCATGTGCGTTTTCCAGTGATGCTCAAGTATATTTTATTTTTTATAGATTGCAAATTGCGTGATCATAGAGTGAGAGCATTACACAAGTGTCCCGGCATCTAAGGTGAGTTTAGCTTCTTTTGTTTATGTTGTTTGAATATTAAATTGATATTAACACCATTCATATATTATGCTATATAAACAAAAAAAAAATATTATATTTTTCTTACTCGCTCTTACAATTCAGAAGTGGATCTGAGCTTTTCAGGTCTATGTATAATATATTTTGCGTATTTTCAGTTTATACATATTTTTATTATAAGTTTGTATTTATTTAAGATATCTGACATGCCCAAATTATGTTATTAGATCATTATTTGTGGATAAATAAATATGTAGTATTATTATTAATAAAATTACAGTTACTAGTGATGTATTTAATTTGTATGGGCGACAGAAATAGCGGCCAACTTACTTCGACTACAACTTAATTACTTAACTACGACTTAACTGATGGCAGATAGACCAAAGAAAAGACGTATGAATGTGGCTAGAAAAGAGTTCAAACAACAAGAGAAAGTCAGAATATGAAATAATTTGGAAATTTTTCAAAATTTGTCACGAGACAGAAGAGATTCGGTACGACCTGATAGTCAAAACCAGTCAAAAATATTACAGAGTAGTAAAAGTATATGGCCGAACGTCGAAAGCATACATAGATTTTGAAAGTACATGTAACACTATATAGAAGAGTGAAGCAAATCCTATGACTTTACCTATACATATATCTCGATGTTGTGTATTGAAAGGACATCGTGATGGCAGAGTTGAATTTTTGGATACTACCAATTTAGAACTACAAATCGATGGCATTTAAAGATCGGTGGATATTTACCTGACAACGGAGCGTTCGTGTAATGAAAGATGAACTTTCTTGTCTGAAGCTAGTTCTTCTCCTGGAATAAATGATGTACAGAAAATAACTTTGCGATCAGTCATGCAGTGCCAATATCACCAAGTGAGCAAGTTACTATCAGAACTGCTGGATACTGAACATGCTAGGAGAATCTACAAAGACTATCCCATACGTGAAGGACAAGTCTACAGAACTAAAGCCAAAATACTACAATGGGTAGTTCTGCAAAAAAATGTGATTTCATGTAGTTCGAACTTCTCACGATGATTTGAACCACTTAGCTGCTAAAAAATTTACTAGGTATTATTGGTTTCCCCGGATGAAAGCTAATGTGGGAAATACATTAAGTGCTGTAGACTGTGCTTGAATAAAGAAAACGACCAACAGAAGAAAGAACTTCCAATGCATACCGTCTATCTTGATTACTTCGGACTTATCCAAAAAGCAGAAAGAAGAATCATAATTATTTAACGCCATAGATGCCTTTACTAAGTTTATTTTCATGAAAGCCGTCAGTACAACAAAGACGAGTAAAGTGTTGATATTTTTGGATGACATATCTGCTTTATTTGAACGACCTATTCGGATTATCACTGATCTGTTTTCACATCTAAAATGTTCAGTGCTTATTGTCAAGAACGAGCAAGTATACCTGTGAAAGTAGCGTTGGTGCTTTAATTTAAAAATATCTCGGATCACAGAAAAAAAAACTGATCTATAACGCGATTCTGAAAAGCGCAATGTTATATGACTCTGGGGTATGGCTGTTAAGCAAAAAAAAACAAAAAAGAAGTTGTTGTCTACCGAAATGGACTTCTGGTGAAGATCAGCCCGAATCTCTCGTTTAAACAGAATTAGGAACGAGAGAATACATGAAAAAAAAAATGAAGGTGGATGGTAACATTGTAAAGATATACAAAAAAAAACAACTACAGTGGTACGGCCACATGTATGTACAACGAATGGCTGACGACAGAATACCAAAGCAAGTATTGCAGTAGACACCTAGAGACAAACGTAAACGAGGCTGACCTAAGCCTTCCTGGAATCAAGGATTCGACGAGCCATGTCGGAAGGGAACCTATACTATCAGGAGATATTGGGACAACGGACGAAGGACGCTGTAACAAGCGGATACATCCATACAAATTAGCGGTGGCAACGTGTAGAGCTGATAGTCAAATTGAACATTACAATTACACAATCCACAATTCACTGATGATCTCAACTCTAAAGGAACTCTAAATGATCTCAACTCTAAAGGACACAACAATATAAACATAAACAATATGCCAAATAAGAACACCGGAAAAACTTCAAGTGAATTCGTCCATAGATATCACTCTGAACCTCTGAACTTAAACAAAAAAAAATTAATTTAAATAAATTCTCTATATCAAAGAGCTACTACACGCTAAACGAATTCTTCCGGGACCTCAAAACTCAAGGCTTATCGGCAGATATATAATAATAATTCTTGAATTAAAATTGTTCTGTTTGTGTATAAATTCAGGTATATTTGTTTTATATTTGTCTTTGTGTAATTTTATATCTTAAAATTGTTCTTGTTTTCTGTATATATTCTTCGTGGAGATCCTATAATCTAAGTACCATTGTATTTATATTAAATGGAATTAATCAAATCAAATCAAATCATCAAAGACAAACAACCGATTAGTGTTTGGTTTATACAGTTACATGAATATCTCGGGTAGTAGATAATCTTTTACTTGAAAGAGAAAGAACAAGCAGAATAACTGAGCTGACTGAAAGCAAACAGACAGTTTACTTTGATAAAACTCGTAAAGAAGCAAGACAGCCCAAGATAGGTGATTTGGTGCTTATCAAGAAAACAGCACCAACAGTCATATCAGCCGTAGATTACTTTCCGTCTGCAGCGGACCAATGGTAATAAAATCCGAATTCTCACATGATAGGTACACGGTGGATATTGAGTCCACTTATTGAAACAAACGTAAAGTTGACTAAACGAACGGTGGCAGTGAGACACTGGAAGGCATGTGGAGAAGTTTCAGATTCAGCTGCTAGTGAAGGATATGGTAAATATGGAGATTTAGTATTATCCGATATTTAGGCGTATTTATCCGATAATTAGGCGATATTAGGCGTAATCCTAATGAAATCCGATTAGGCAAGCTCGGGACGAGCTTCTAGCAGGATGGCCGACTGTAAGAGTCTTGTTTTCCGTTAAAAAATTGTTTATATTAAATTGTGTTATTTTAAGAAATAATATTTTATTTGAATCTCTAATTGACTTTTCTTGACCGCATGTATAAAATGTTGTTTCCTAGACGATGCGGTTTGCATTGTTGATGATTATTTAGATTGACGTCGCCATTTATCAAAAAAATATTAAATTCAGATTATAATTGTGTGGAAAATATTTCTGGGACTGAATAGAAAGAATGAAGTATTATACAGGTGAGTGTATTTTGTTCACTCACGGGCATTACTGGGATTTGTATGAGAGTAGTTTAATATTATTAAGTTAACAGTTATTGAGCTTTAGTAGTAGATAGAGAAGGGTATTTTAGTATTACTTTTGTGTGTGTGTGTGTGTGTTTTATAGTAGACAAGTATTTATCAAAGGGCATTTTAATATAGTTTAGTTAAAAGATAGATGTTTATCAAAGAGTGTTTTAGTGTTATTTATTATAGATACGTAATGGACAGCTATTTATCAAAGAGTATTTTAGTAATATTTATTGGGTGTGATTTATAATACCTGGCAAATTATCAAATGGTATTTAGTATTATTATTTTGGAGTGTTTTATATTTTTACGTATGACTCAAATTGTTTAACAACAATATTAAGCTATGTCGCTTTGTGGCCATCCCTTTTGCGTGTGGGACAGACGCCTTGTCGCTTAGCTACGGAACAACAACATTATGCTATGTCGCTTTGTGGCCATCCCTTTGCGTGTGGGACAGACGCCTTGTCGCTTAGCTACGGAACAACAACATTATGCTATGTCGCTTTGTGGCCATCCCTTTTGCGTGTGGACAGACGCCTTGTCGCTTAGCTACGAAACAACAACATTAAGCTATGTCGCTTTGTGGCCATCCCTTTTGCGTGTGGGACAGACGCCTTGTCGCTTAGCTGCGGAACAACAACATTATGCTATGTCGCTTTGTGGCCATCCCTTTTGTGTGTGGGACAGACGCCTTGTCGCTTAGCTGCGGAACAACAACATTATGCTATGTCGCTTTGTGGCCATCCCTTTTGTGTGTGGGACAGACGCCTTGTCGCTTAGCTACGGAACAACAAAAATATTTAACTATTTTATATACTCGATTATGGTGATGTGATCATGTGCGTTTTCCAGTGATGCTCAAGTATATTTTATTTTTATAGATTGCAAATTGCGTGATCATAGAGTGAGAGCATTACACAAGTGTCCCGGCATCTAAGGTGAGTTTAGCTTCTTTTGTTTATGTTGTTTGAATATTAAATTGATATTAACACCATTCATATATTATGCTATATAAACAAAAAAAAAATATTATATTTTTCTTACTCGCTCTTACATATGTAACCTTCTCTAGTTTTTATTTCAATAGGCTGCAACTTTTCAATTTTTGTATTCATGTCTTTTCCGTAGAACGCACAAGATTAGCATTTTCCTTTTGAAATAAAAACTTGATAGGTCTACAGTATAGAGTTGACGAAGGCTTATCATTTTTCCATAAAATTTTGCCTGTTCCCTCATCGAATAACGTTAGTGGCGTCATTGCTGCAATTTTATCAACTTAAAAATGCTTAAGGCTGTTCTAAAAGTTCTTTTTAAATCCACTTCTGCATAAATTTCAGTAACATTCAATTTGGAAGGTAAAATAGTGTTTTTTGTATTCTTCACCTGATGATAACTAGGCAGGCAGTTCTGGGCTTTAAGATTGATGGCATATCTAAGAAGAATATATTTTCTCATAGATAAATCTAGATCTAACATAAGTGCCAAGGCTTCGAAAGTAGTAAAACCAGTAACATTTGAGGAAACCTATGATCAGCCCCTGATAAAACACTGGCTGCAAACTTAATCTCATTTGCAGGTATTTTCTTAGTTATCTCCATTACGCGCTTTCGTTTTGTTTTCATTGAAACTTCTTCAAGTGATACTCGCGGTCTTCCTACTGGACGACTAGGTCCTGGCTGATCATCACTATCCAAAGATGTACTCTCGTTAGGGTCGTTACTGTTGCCAAATATTATTTGGTCCAGCCAAGCTACCTCATGTAAAAGTTGATTACGAGAATGTTTTGTTGCCACTTACTTGACATTTTCAATCCAAACAACTGACTGCATTTCATAACTTTATCTTTTATGTTTTGAGAAGGTTCGTCGATACTTATAAGGGACAACATTTTTTCATACACTGTCTGGTTTCGATTTCATTTGGGTGTTTCTAACCACACATCTACCAGATCCTTGTTTTTGATGACATTAGTTTCTAAAAGTAATCATAACTTCATTAGGCGCAATCTGAGCCGATTAAAACTTTTTGTGATAACTACTTATTGATGAATAAGTAACATACAAAAAAAATACCGAAAGTGATTTTTTTTAATACTTAGGAAAGTTAAAAATATTAAAAATTTTCAAATTTCGAAACGCGACTTTAACTTGAGAAAAATTTTGTTTTAGAACTCGCTCAAAAGTAATTTTATATAACAATTTACAGTACTTACCAGTCTCATCAGAAATTTTGTTCGAATCGAAAAGGTAAAACACTTCAACATAAAAACTCGATTTAAAACGAACAATCAAACGTAAAGCTGGCGGTCTTTCGGTCATTAGGGTATGCCCTTTTTCTAAGTACTTTGGAATAATGCAGATATTCTGAAGCGAAAAATTAAAAAGTGCATTCGCCAAAATGGAGTTGCGATTTTGTGCACCGCACCCCTCATTATACAGAATTATATTAGGTGTATTATCTGGAGCTGTATCAATAGTGGGCAATATTTTTGTACCTAAGAAATTACAAAATCATAGGGAAATAACAAGGATCTATCGTGAGAGAATTTTTCGCTGACTATTTTTTGGAAGCAGGGGCCGTAGCTTTCCAAAGGCATCATATGTTTTAAATGAATATTTTAATTAATTGTCAATATAAATGAACCTAAAATATACCTACATATAGAGTGTATATTTTTCTTAACTTGTTCCTGCTTTTCAGCCTCTGTCATTGCTTCCCAC